ACTGTGGGCTTCACTGTGGCCACAGGTTCTCCAAAGAGCCAATGCTGGTTTCTTTAGAGTCCTTCTGTGGCTGACTTTGGGTCAGAATGGATGGGAGCAGGTAGACCCAGGTGTTTATCCCATCAGCGTGACCCCAGGAGCTGCTGGGAGCAAGTCTAGCCCGTGCAGTGGCTGATGTCCATGACATGTGTACATCTCATCCCAGATGGTAGCTGACATGCGGGAGAAACGCTACGTTCAGGAGGGCATTGGCAGCAGCTACCTTTTCCGGGTGGATCACGATACCATCATTGATGCCACCAAGTGTGGCAACCTCGCCAGGTTCATCAACCACTGCTGCACGGTGCGCTCAGGGCTGGGCCAGGGCTGGGCTGGGCAAGGGTGAGGTGGGGCTGCGGCTTACACTGCCCCTCCTGCAGCCCAACTGCTACGCTAAAGTGATCACCATCGAGTCTCAGAAGAAGATTGTGATCTACTCCAAGCAGCCCATTGGCGTGGATGAGGAGATCACCTACGACTACAAGTTCCCACTAGAGGACAACAAGATTCCGTGTCTGTGCGGCACTGAAAGCTGCCGTGGCTCCCTCAACTGAGGTGGGGCAGGACTGGTGCCCTCACCCCTATTTATTCCCCCTTGGTGCCCTAAGCTCCCAGCACCCCCAGCCTTAGTGGGCTCAGCAGGGCCCACATGCCCCCATCTCCACATGTGGGACAGGGGCCCTGAACCCAGCAAGGGAGCCTCAGTCCTTTGAGGTAACTTCTGACTCCCCAAACCCTTTGCCCAACCACCCTCTTAATTTTTTTTTCTTTGCGGAGAAGAAGCTGTAAATGTTGTGTAGCTGCCAGCAGCTGTTTCCTGTGGAAACCTGGGGTACCAGCCTGTATAGATGCTATTCTTGGGGGCTGAAGAGCCCTCTGCTTCATGTTAGTGGGGATTTCCCCTTCTGTCCTATATGCATCCCTCCCCAATTTAGGGGTCTCTGGGGCAGTGGCCATGTTCTCCCCCTGGGGGGGCCTTTGGCCCCTAGTCCTGGGAACTCTGTGCCTGGAACCCTGCCTCATCTGTTCCTGCCAGACCCTGTGGGTCACCCTCCTACCCTGGTGTCTCAGAGCTCTGACTCAGTGGGCCAGGATGGTGGGGGGCAGGCCCTTCTTGTTGGGCTGGATTGTACATAATGTTAATAGTGAAAACCCAACGCCACATTTTTATAATTGTGATTAAACTTTATTGTACAAAAATGCTTGGTCAATATCTTTGGGAAGAGCAGGCTGGGATGCGGGTGAAGCGAGAGGAGGAAAATGGGTGGCCTGAAGTTCGGGGTGAATAGGCCCGCCGACAGCAGTATTGCTGTGGACCAACCACCTAAAGGACTACAACAACCATGCCAGTATCTCCCCAGGGATGCTAGCCAGAGCTGTACCAAGATCAGGCTTCCCTCCTCTCTCTCCCCAGAACCACAGCTGGTGCTGGGACTCCAGCCTACTGGGAAACCCAGCAGGAGGGAAGAAGCAAGGTCATGTAGCAGTGATGAGGTCACCCTGTCTCGACCCCATTATCCCCAAATACGTCATTACCAAATGGGCAGGTTCTGTCCTCTGCCACAGAGAGTGGAATGGCCACCAGGGGGCACTATGGCAAGAGAATTCCCTCCAAACTCCCTTGCCCGCCCCTAGGGGTGGAGGCTAGGCTGGTCTTCCTGGAATGGGCCAGGGAGGAGGAGCAAGCGGAAGGAAGGAAGCCTGTGTGCAGCTAGCTGGCCCACCAGCCAAGGACACAGCCTCTCCCAGTGGCCAGTTTGGACTCCCTGGGACTAGCTACAGGTAGGCAGAGGTGATACTGAGCCCCAAGGGGCCCTTCTCTTACTTTGCTCAGTCCTTACCACCACCTTGCACCCTTCCTAAACAACTCTTTCCCTTTTTCCCTCCTTTAGTATCCCCAGTCATTTTTTCCATCCACCTCAATCCCTAACCCGTTCTGCATCCAATCCGAGTGACTTAGGGTAAGAGGGCAGGCAGCCTGAGTGCTACCGGCACACAACTGCAACCCACAGCTACTAAGCCTCTTCCACCTATATTATCACCCACCTACTAGATCCCTTCTAGGAAAAACACATAGTTGAAGCAGGTAGTATCAATTCTAGTGAGTGTAATTCTCTTCCCACAGCTGGGCATGGCAGAATCTGCACAGGTGCCAACACTGGTCTACCTGGTCACAGGTGGCTGTGGCTTCTTGGGGGAGCATATTGTTCGAATGCTGCTGGAGCGGGAGCCCAGGCTCCGGGAGCTGCGTGTCTTTGACCTGCACCTCAGTTCCTGGCTGGAGGAGTTGAAAACAGGTGACTGGAATGGGGCAGGAGGTGTGGCGCCCCATCCTCCCCAAACTGGGATATGTGCACTTGTGGAAAAGGTGATTCCTATGTCTGTCCTCCAGCTCACGCAGATGGGATGGGTGAGTCACTGGGAACGAATGCGTGGTCCCCTGGGGGCATGCAGGCCAAACTCAGCAGCTGGCTAAGTCCCCAGCTCTGACACTGCCTCGGGCCTCTCCACCAGGGCCTGTGCAAGTGACCGCCATCCAGGGGGATGTGACTCAGGCCCACGAGGTGGCAGCTGCCGTGGCTGGATCTCATGTGGTCATCCACACAGCTGGGCTTGTGGATGTGTTTGGGAAGGCCAGTCCAAAGACCATCCACAAAGTGAACGTGCAGGGTGAGGCGCTACCTACATGTTCTTCCGTGTGACACCCGTCTGACCTTAGCGTGAGCATTCTGTGATGTTCCTATGAGAACCTGTCCTGCTGATAACAGGGCCCCGTTACTGCACCCCCACCCTTTCCTGACCTGTGGTGGTTCACGCTGGACACTAGGTAAAGCCGAAAAAGATGTCGAGGCAGGAAGAAGACACAGCTTGCATTTGTCCCTTCCCTTCACAGGCACACAGAATGTGATCGAGGCTTGTATACGGACTGGAACTCAGTTCCTGGTCTACACAAGCAGCATGGAAGTTGTGGGACCTAATATCAAGGGCCACCCCTTCTACAGGTAAGCTTAGTCCCACTAAATGTCAGAGGCCCTTTCCCTCCAGCATTGAGTCTGTTTTCTCCCCTTCTAGGGGCAATGAGGACACCCCATATGAAGCAGTCCACAGGCACCCCTACCCTTGCAGCAAAGCTCTTGCTGAGCAACTGGTCCTGGAGGCCAATGGAAGGAAGGTAGGTTGCAAAAATAGGGCTTGGGGCGCTGAAGGTAAAGGAGAACCTGACCCCCCAGGCTTCTTTGCATCCATCTCCAACCCATGGTGGCCAGGGTAGAGGCGTGTGCTCCAACATTTTCCCTTTGCCACCAGGTCAATGGAGGGCTACCCCTGGTGACATGTGCCCTTCGACCCACGGGCATCTACGGTGAAGGTCATCAGGTCATGAGAGATTTCTACAACCAAGGACTGCGCTTTGGGGGTCGGCTCTTTCGAGCCGTCCCAGCTTCTGTGGAGCACGGTCGAGTCTATGTTGGTAAGGGCAGAGCAAGGCAAAGGGAGCCCGAGAGCAGGGCAAGGGGGCTGGCTCTGAAGGTGGCAGAGTCATGAGTGTCCCCCTGGTCCTGTGAGGGCTCAGTCAGACAGTGATCATGTGGGCACTTTCTGCATGGATTGCAAGAGAAAGTCTCCATGCCAGCTGGGGGTGGCTGACATGTCATGGGTTATGCCGAACACTGAAGCAGAGTGAGGACAGTGAGGACAGTTCTCCAGAGAAAGACAAGGGCAGCAGCCAGACAGGAACCAAGTAGCTACAGGATGTCCGGAGGGCGGGTGGCTACAGGGGTGGGGGAGGGCCACCTTGACCAGAAGATAGTGAGGTTTGGGCCAAACGGGCCTGGACCAAGGGTCCTCAGGGGCTTATCTGCCTCCCTCCCTACTGGTAGGTAATGTGGCTTGGATGCACGTGCTGGTGGCCCGAGAGCTGGAGCAGCGAGCAACACTCATGGGTGGCCAGGTGTATTTCTGCTATGATAAATCGCCTTATAAGAGCTACGAGGACTTCAACATGGAGTTTCTGGGTCCCTGTGGACTGCGGCTGATAGGCACCCACCCACTGTTGCCCTACTGGCTGCTGCTGCTGCTGGCTACCCTCAATGCCCTGCTGCAGTGGCTGCTCCGCCCACTGGTACTGTACACACCCCTGCTGAATCCCTACACTCTGGCCGTGGCCAATACCACCTTTACTGTCAGTACCAACAAGGCACAGCGCCATTTTGGCTACAAGCCCCTCTTCTCATGGGAAGAGAGCAAGGCCCGCACCATTCACTGGGTGCAGGCCTTGGAGGGTTCGGCCCGGTGACGGCAGGGCCAGGGACTGGAGGCCACTGTGGTACACACTCAAGGTCCTGAACCTTCAGAGCCTGGATGGAGAGAAATGACTGCCTTCTGAGGCTAGGGGTTGTGGTGCCTGACTGGGTGGGAGGAACCATGCCATGTTTTAACTATATAGATCTTGAGTCTGGGTGGTATCCCAGCCTCCAAGTTCTAACAGGGTTTAGGGACAGGCCTATCTTTGGTGCCAGCTGATTAGCAAAGCTGATTTCTAAATGGTCTCACTACCCTACCCCTTCCCACTTCTGGTTTTTCAAGCAGGAAGGGGCTCACGCTGGTCTGTTTACTCCAGGTGGTCTTCAGACCTGGCTTCCGCCACCCCTGGCTCTCCTTAAGGGGTTATAGTTCCATCATTATTTTAAAGTGTATCTCTTTTAGACATTTATCTTTTAATGTGCTTTAAAGAAAGCTGAAGAAAGCAATGAGTTTCCATGTCTTACCTCTCCAACCAAATTCAGTGCCTGCGGTATTGTTAGCTTTCTGTCAAGGTAGCCAACCATGGCGTATCAGGCCAAGCCTGGATTAAAATCCTTTTTCAAGTCTGTGTCTACCTGTTGTTCCCCCTCCCCCCAGTGTCTCCCGTCAACACGGCGCCTGTCCCATGTGGGGACAGAAGGAAGTGAGCACACAGCAAGCCCGCTGTTGGATTGGTTGCTATTTCTCCCGTCCCACCAGGCCCAACCTGGCCCAGGATGGGGTTCGGGCGCTCTGGGGACAGGACATGCAGGTCTGGGGCGGGGGTCAAAATTTCCTGTATTTGATCCATTTGCAACTTGATCACCAATAGAGAGAAATAAGACTCTGAGGGCTAACAGGAGGGTGGCCAGGCTCTGGGCCCCCAGCCAGGCCCCAGGAGTCCTGTCCCCTCAGGAGGGGAGGGAGAGAGTTCTAGAAACCAATGGAGAAAAAAAGGGGGCAGGGGCTCATGTCAGCAAACATGGCTACATCACGTAACACGCCAGCGACACAGAAACACACCAACGCACACAGCTGCACAGCGGGGCGTGGGGAGAGGCTAGGTGGGGGAGAAGAGAGCTAGGAACCGGCCATCTTGTCCTCTGTGAGGTGGGTAGGGCAGGGTGAGTTCACAGAACACATCATGTGTGCACGCTCAAGGCATGACAAGAGCGTGATGACCCACGGGCACAGGAGACAGACACATGGTGGGCTTTGTAAGAGGCAAGGAAGGGACAATGGAAGCATTGAGTCCTGGCTTGGGCATAGGACCACACAGGGGCACATCTGGGCCTGATGGTTTTAGGTGTGTGGAGGGCAGGCGGCACACACTTATCTGAGAACATGCAAAAGACACCAGCCCCCAGACAATCATCCAGGACACACATATGGACAACAGTCAACAAGCTTGTCCATCATGTGATGTGTGGGTCTTGTGGAAAGCTGGGTTACAGCAGACTCAGGACTGCTAGTCCACTTGGGACCCAGTGGTGGGCAGCCCTGGGCCCAGTGCCATTCAAAGAGGCGGAAGCAGCATGCCAGCCACAGGCTGCCCTTGTGAACACCGTGACTGGGGTGTCAGGGAGGCTGCTAGAAACACCTAGGTTGAAGGGGGTTCTGGCTGGGCTGAAGGAAGAAGTGGGTGGATGCTGGGGCCTCCTCTGGCATCTCCAGAGAAGTCAAGGACGGGGGCACGAAGCTCTGGGCGAACTCCTGTCCTGCCGAAGAGTATTCTGGAAATGGATAGGCAGGCTCCCTCTTCAGCATAGCTAACCTGGGGGTTACACACACGTGGATGGACACATGCACACATGCACACACGCACACACACCAGGTGGGCAGAGCTCAAACAGTCAAGCAGGGAAGAGATGAGCTCTCAGGGCTTGCTCAGAAGATTTCCATTTAGAAAGCCATTATTTTCAGGGACTCCCCCTCTCCCTTCTCCCCGAGTCCTGCGTGCACCTGTGTTCACACACACTTCACATGGCTACCCGACTGCAGGCCAGGACACATGTGCCTCTGTGTGCCACCTACACATTCACAGGACTTGTAGCACTGTCCTTTATCCCGCTGACATCCTGCCTGCTCCCCGAGAGCCCACACAGTGCACAACTGTCCACACAGTGGAAGGGGTTTCTCCATTCCTCACTGCCGGAGGACGCTCCCTTTCTCAACCTCCCTGTCACCCAGCTGTGGTAGAGGCCGGGCTGATGGCTTCAGCAGTACACATGTCTGAGGGATAGATTCAAGGATGGCCCTAAGTAGCCACTCAGGTGTGTGTAAAATCCAGCTGCCCAAACCCAAGTTCCTTGAGGAAGAGTTCAAAGCATCGGCTGAGGCAGTGAGGACAAACAAGAGCTTCAAGGTGAGTTTGAGAGGCAGGAAAGGGAAATGCCACTGTTTCCCGCCTGTCTGGAGCAGCCCTTGGCATCTTACCTCCTTAGGCCTACCACACTCCTTCCAGGAGACAGTTTGTGTGCAAACTGGTGTGGCCCGGGATGGGCACCATGCTGTTTGTGTGTGAGGCCCCTGCACCCGTGTGTGAGCACCTTTCTGGAACTTCCTCAGCCTCGGCATTTGTGAACACACTAGGACGTGCTAGTTGTTCAAGGCTCAGTACTGCTGTTGGGCAGAGAGAGAAAGGTAAGAGTCTAGGTGTGTGTTCCCATCAGATGGTTTGGAGAGGGAGGAAACAGCCCTTGCACACTCCTGGCACACTCCTGATAGATAGAGCAGTGTGAGCTGCTGTTCTGAGGAAAGGGAGGAGCAACTAAGTCTGGATAAATCTGGGGAGCATGAACTTAAAGAGAAACGTGTATGTGTGTGACGCACAGAAGCAGAAACATGTTATGTAGAAAGTCCACAAGGGTGCACACGAACACAGTCGTATTCCAGGTAGCTTAGTGACAGCTATCTCTACCCATTCAAAACTAGTGTCTGATTCACAGCATGGATGGCTCTAAGAGAAGATTATCAGCACTACACTACACACACACACACACACACACACACACAGAGAGAGAGAGAGAGAGAGAGAGAGAGAGAGAGAGAGAGTCTTATGCACCAGCCCTTTACATCATCACCTATTAGGGAAACGCACATTCATACCAACTGAGTCAGGATCTTTATCATGTACACACAGGCTTCCACTTGCTTCCCCTGAACTCAAGGCTCCACACACATATGCGCACGCACACACACACACACACACACACACACACACACGGGTGGGGGGAGTCCCCAGGACATGAAGTGAACCCCTGGCAGTAACTGAGCCAGGAGAGTTTGTGAGTTCTACATCACAGGAGACATGTGCCGTGGTCTCTGGGCCTCCCTGGATCCTTGGAGGCTGGGAATTACCCTCACACATCCCTCCCACTCCAGATGGAGCATATAGGAGAGAAGGTCAGTGGAGGAATTGCTTTTGCATTGGGTTTTCACACTTAGAAAACTCCATGTACACACATTGTATGGCCACAGATCTGTGCACACACGCGAGCACACACACACACACACACACACCTGCACTACACGTGTCTGTTCACAGAAGACAGGTTGGGGTATGGTGGGCTGCTGTGTTCTACTCGGCCACAGTCTGCACAGCAACGGGAGAGAGGGAAGTTCAGACCACACAGGATGGAGGTGGCAGCAAGAGGTTCAGGGGATCTACATACATCTACACAAGTACATACACGCTGGGGTGTCCACACGTCTTGAGCATGTGCCCGCGGCATGCATGTTGGTGTGCATGTGTGATCACGCCTGCTGTTATCTATGTGCGGCAAGGTGGAGGGAGGCTCCATGGCAAAGTGAGAGCCAGGGACTCCAGGGTGTGCATGAGGGTGGCAGGAGCTGAAACTGCCTGGGTCTGTTTTGGGAGTGAGCTTGGAGCAGGGGAGAGTGAAGGGGGAGGGGATTGCTCCCAATGAGTGGGGAGGGACTGAGGGAAGAGAAGGGTAGGGGCCTACAAGCCCAGTGTCCCCCCAATAGATGACGCCAAGACCACCCCCAGCACCACACAGCAAATGATGATCATGATTTTCTTCTGCAGGTGGAAAGATAAGGGGGGAAGAGGGGGAGAGAGAGACAGACAGACAGACAGACAGACAGACAAATGAAGGGAGAGTTGGGATATAGGACATGAGGAAAGAGGGGAGAGAAAACAGAAACAGGAAGAGGTCAGAGCCAGAGATAAGGCCTCTCACCCATTTCGTAACTGCCACACTCCACCCACTGATCTCCTGCCCCGTCAGGCCACCTCCCCTGCTTACCCTCCTCGCCTTGCTCTGGTATTTCACAGCTTTCTTGGTGTCGGACACAGCTCGTTCCACATAGTCCACGGAATGTTCCACATTGTATTCGATGCGGTCAATCATCTCGCCCTGCAGATGGGAAATGTGAAGAGGGGAGAATGAGGGTCGGCTGGAAAAGGCACCCTTGGGGCTCGTGGGGACCCCCAGACTGGTGCAGCCTGTACCTGGCTCTCCACCAGCATGGCCATGTCCACAAACATGTCGTGCAGCTCTCGGATGCTGGTCTCCAGTTTGATGATCTCATTGTGCCTTGTCTCAATCTCATTTAGTGCCTGCTTTGTCATCTGCGAGTCCATTTTGATCTAGGGCGGTGGGGGGAAGAATGGGCTGTGAACACCCTTTGTCCATGTAACGGTTTCAACCTAACAGTTAGAGGGGCTGGGTACAAATCCTTGGGCTAATTATTTACCCTCTTCTGGACCTTGCTAGCCACCACCTAGAGAATATGGATCATAAGCTGGGCGGTGGTGGCACCTGCCTTTGATCCTAGCACTCGGGAGGCAGAGGTAGGCGATCTCTGTGAGTTCGAGGTCAGCCTGGTTCACAGAATGAGTTCCAGGACAGCCAGGGCTACACAGTAAAACCCTGTCTGGAGAAAAAGAGGTGGGGGGAGAGGGAGAGAAAGAAAGAAAAGAAAAGGAAGGGAGGAAGGGAGGGGAAAGAAGGAAGGCAGGAAGGAAGGAAGGAAGGAAGGAAGGAAGGAAGGAAGGAAGGAAGAAAGGAAGGAAGGAAGGAAGGAAAGAAGGAGGACCATAATAGCACCTATCTCAAAAGATTGTTGTTAAATTGAATGCGTTTGTGTATGTAACTTTGAACAATCCTTGGAACACCATAAGCATCAAAAGAAGTTTGTAGAATTACAAGAAATAAAGCTTGTAGAAGGCCAGCAGTCTCGCTCCACGGCTTCCTGTAGTGGAACACACACCAGGGAAGCCCAGGGAAGAGAGATGGTCAAAGCTGACAGCGATGGCGGGATACATCAGGTGGGACAGTAGCGACAGGCAGAGGCTCAGATGTGAAGGCAGTGTGCCCGCAAGTCAACAGGAGCCTCGTGAGATGAAGCAGGGGATAAATAAGAACAAAATGCACACCGGTCTCGAGATCAGGAGGAGAAATTCCAGCTCACAGCTACAGCGTCCCCTCAGCTCCTGACCTGGGCCATTGGCTCCTACTGAGTTTAGAACACAGTGGGCAATCGCTTTCCCTCTGGTGCCTACAGAACTCCCAATTACACTGGCCACATACAGCCACTCTGGCCCCTCCCCACACATGGGGAGCAACCCTTCCCCCCATCCCTCTCACTCTCCCTCACTCCAAGCTCACTTCCAAAATAGACCCTTTCTACCCATATTTCCTGCCCCTATTGTAAGTGCCAAGGTCATCCAGCAGCTGTCCTGCAAGCGTCCCTGTCTCCCTGTCTATATTTTGACTGCTCTTTGCCAATATTCTCATTATCTAAACACTCATTTGCTTCTCCTTTTTAGCTTAGATTTTTTTTTTAAAGTGTATGTGTTTGCACTAGAAGATAAATTCAGTTGCCCACATGGATCAAAGGACCTGAGTCCCCTGGAGCTGGAATTACAGGACCTTGTGAGCCCTGACACAGTTGAACTCTGGTTCTGGTTCTGGTGCCATAACCACTAAACCATCTCTCCCCAGATCCTGCTGTCTCTCTTTTTCTTTTTTAAAGACTTATTTATTTCCATATATGAGTGTTTTGTCTGCATGTACATCATCTGCACACCAGAAGAGGGCACTGGATCCCACGGGACTACAGTTACAGATGGTTGAGAGTCACTATGTGGGTGCTGGGAATTGAACTCAGGACCTCTGGTAGAGCAGCCAGTGCTCTTAACCACTGAGCCACTTCTCCAGCCCCATCCTGTTGTCTCTTAAGGTCCATCTCAATGACAACTCTTGACATCTTCCTTGACTCCAGTATTAATAATAATCCTAGCCAACACTTAGGGTTCATCTGCCTTTTCCTCAGCCCATCCAGGGCTCATCTGCCCTTTCCTCAGCCCATCCAGGGCTCATCTGCCCTTTCCTCAGCCCATCCAGGGCTCATCTGCCCTTTCCTCAGCCCATCCAGGGCTCATCTGCCATTTCCTCAGCCCATTAAGGGCTCATCTGCCATTTCCTCAGCCCATCCAGGCTCCCAACCCCATTGACATTGTTGTGAAACTGAGTGGGTTCCATAAAGGTGGTTTCCATGACCACAATGGAATGCCAGGAGGCAGAGGTCAACCTTTTATTTTTTTATTTTTTATTTTATTTAATTAATTTATTTGAAGCAAGTATCTCTATGTAGTCCTGGCTGTCCTGGAAGCTATGTAGACCAGACTGGTCTTGAACTCCCAGAGATCTTCCCAAGGGCTGGGATTAAAGGTGTTCACCACCATGCCTGGCCAGAGGCCAGCTCTTGCCCACTAAAGTAAGACCTCTTGGAGTCGCCTGCCAGGCTCCTCTCCAGTCTCACACAGAGACAAGACAGTCTGAGGAGAGCTGTATTGGAAGGAGGAGGGGTGTCTCACTGGCCCCTCCAGGGTCAATTCAACAAATACATTTCACTGCCGACTCTCCGACAAACACAGTGAACACTTTATGCCTGGTTACACCATTTCCCAAAGCCATCTGGCCACAGAGGCAGAGATGGACACAGGGCTGGGCAGGCCAGAGTGCACGCCCACAAGGAGAAAGAGAACCTGGGTTTGGGGGAAGCCCCTGCGCTCACAAAGAACAGAACAGGGCCGTGTGGAGAAACAGAGCCTCCAAAAACGAGCCACAAAGAATGGCAGGCTTCAGGAGGGGGAATGGGCTGTGGGTCCTGTGGTTCTGGGGAGGGAAGTATGCTGTCACTTCAGTCACCACACTGAAGAACTCTGACTCAGAAACTAAGACTGTGTTCTTACTGAAAGCAGTCTACAGATTCAACGCAATGCCCATCAATATCCTAGCAAAATTCTTCAAAGACCTCGAAAGAATGGTACTCAACTTCATATGGAAAAGCAAAAAAAAAACAAACAAACAAAAAAACAAACAAACAAACAAACAAAAACCAACCCAGGAGAGCCAAAACAATCCTGTACAATAAAAGAACTTCTGGAGGCATCACAATCCCTGACTTCAAACTCTACTACAGAGCTAAAGTACTGAAAACAGCCTGGTACTGGCATAAGAACAGACAGGAGGACCAATGTAACTGAACAGAAGACTCGGGTATCAATCCACATATCTTCGAACACCTGATCTTTGATAAAGAAGCAAAAAATATCAAATGAAAAAAAGAAAGTATATTTAACAAGTGGTGCTGGCATAACTGGATATCAACATGTAGAAGAATGAAAATAGACCCATATCTATCACCATGCACAAGACTCAAGTCCAAATGGATTAAAGATCTCAACATAAAGCCAGCCACACTGAACCTTATAGAAGAGAAAGTGGGAAGTACACTTGAACGCATTGGCACAGGAGACCACTTCCTAAATATAACCCCAGCAGCACAGACACTGAGAGAAACAATTAATAAATGGGACCTCCTGAAACTGAAAAGCTTCTGTAAAGCAAAGAACACGGTCAACAAGACAAAATGACAGCCTACAGAATGGGAAAAGATCTTCACTAACTGCACATCAGACAGAGGTCTGATCTCCAAAATATACAAAGAACTCAAGAAATTGGACACCAAAAGAACACATAATCCAATAAAAAAAAATGGAGTACAGACCTAAACAAAGAACTCTCAACAGAGGAATCTAAAATGGCTGAAAGACACCTAAGGAAATGCTCAACATCCTTAGTCATCAGAAAAATGCAAATCAAAAGAACTCTGAGATTCCATCTTACACCTGTAACAATGGCCAAAATCCAAAATCAAAAACACTGATGACAACTTATGCTGGAGAGGTTGTGCGGAAAAGGGAACACTTCTGCATTGCTGGTGGGAGTGCAAGCTGGTACAACCCCTTTTCTCAGAAAATTAGGAAACAACCTTCCTCAAGACCCAGTAATACCACTTTTAGGTATATATCCAAAAGATGCTCAATCATGCCACAAGGACATGTGCTCAACTATGTTCATAGCAGCTTTGTTTGTCATAGACAGAACCTGGAAACAACCTAAATGCCCCTTGACTGAAGAATGGAGAAGGAAAATGTGGTACATTTACACAACAGAGTACTACACAGCAGAAAAAATAACGACAGCTTGAATTTTGCAGGCAAATGGATGGAGCTAGAAAACATTATTTTGATTGAGGTAACCCAGACCCAGAAAGACAATTATCATATGTACTTACTCATAGGTGGTTTTTAAACATAAAGCAAAGAAAGCCAGCCTACAAACCACAATCCCAGAGAACTTAGACAACAATGAGGACCCTAAGAGAGACTTACATAGATCTAATCTACATGGGAAGTAGAAAGTAGAAAAAGACAAGATCTCCTGAGTAAATTGGGAGCAAGAGGACCTTGGGGGAGGGTTGAAGGGAGGAGGGGAGAGGCAGGGAGGGGAGCAGAGAAAAATGTAGAGCTCAATAAAATCAATTTAAAAAAAAAAGAAACGCAAAAAAAAAAAAAAGAAACCAAAAGAAATTAAGACTGTGGAGTCAAGTTCTTCCCAAGTTGTTTCACCTTCTGGCTCAATTTTCCTCATCTAAGAAATGAGTTACCTTTAAGATTTTGGAGACAATTAAGAGAGGGTAGACACAGTGGTACACCCCTGTAATTCTGGGTGAGGCCAAGAGGATTGTGAGTTTTGAAACAATCCTGTCTCAAAAAACAAACAAAAAACCCTGCAAGTGTGAAAAAATGCCTCGTGCAGCGCTATTGACCCTTTTCACGAAGGTGCCTTCCTGCCCCGCCCCCGTGGAATCCCCCAGTTCTTGGTCCAAGTTGTCCATTGTCTGAGATTCCAGAGTGGACATGGAGAAGAGGCCAATGTTTTCCCGACAGACCCTGACCCGACCCAGGGCTCACATCGTCCGTGAAGATGGCCAGCTTCCCGCTTTCCAACATGTCTTCCAGTTCTTCATTGGTAGTGGTCCTGCCAGCTGTGGAGAGAAAGAACTTCCTGCTCAGGAACTGGGTCTGAGGTGGTGGGGTGAAGGGAACAGGAGCCCAGGACCCACCCTTCCAGGCTCAGGCCAGGTGCTGGCTCCAGGGAGGAACCCCCTGGAGCCGGCCTGTCAAGTCCTGGGACTTTGGGGATGGGGAGGGGCACACGCACTGATCTCCAGCTGCCGCTGGATGCGGTCCTTGCAGCGGTCCCGGTACTTGGACTGGGTTGCGTTATACTCGGTCATTACCTCCACGAACTTCCGCGAGAGGGTGGAGTGCTGGAGAATCGGGAAAGACACCGCAGGGTGTCATGAACACAAGGTACCTCCATCCTTCGCTCTGCTCTCTGGCACAACCCCGCCCAGAGGCCCTCACAGAGACCACTCCTGCCAGGGCTGGTTCCCTGCATGCTGAGCTTACCTGAGTCTTGCGGATGCGCAGGTCGGCGGAGGAACGATTCAGCCCCTCTTCCTGCTCAATGCTTTGCTCGATCGCTACAGGAGAAAAGGCACAGTCACAGGCTGGAGACAGAGATGGGGACCGGGATCTGGGGTGTAGGAAGAGGTAGGGTCCAGGTTAAGGGAAAAGACACCATGCTCCACGAAAGGAATTATGGTTCCTAGGCGATGGTGGCGCAGGCCTTTAATCTCCGGCACTTGGGAGGCAGAGGCAGGACGATCTCTGTGAGTTCGAGGCCAGCCTCGAACTTACTACAGAGCAAGTTCCTGGACAGGCTCCAAAGCTGCAGAGAAACCCTGTCTCAAAAAACAAAAACAAAACAAAGCAAAAACCAAAAAAATCATGAAAAGGAAAAAAGAAAGAAACAAATTATGGCGAGGTCTAGTTTTGCAGGCTGCCAATAGACAAGCAGGAATCTGAGGGGGTTTCCTAAGGCAGGTAGGGAAAGAGACAGAGTCAAAAGGTCACCAGACAGAAGCTTTGTTTTCATGGAAGAATTTTGCCTTGGAGGGAATATAGTCCGTTCACTAGAGGGGACACCCCCCAAAGTAGTCTCCAGTTCCTTTTACCTCTAAACAAAAAGCAAAACCCAACAGCACTTTGTGTGTGTGTGTGTGTGTGTGTGTGTGCATGTGTGCGTGCTTTTAAAGGCAGGGTGTGATTGGTTACATTGCCTGAAACTTGTGGACTCAAAGACACCTCTGCCTCACTTTCCGAGTAGCTGCTACTACAGGCAAGGCCCCCACTACCTTCTGACTTTTTGGTGGTCACCCTTACATGAGAATTCTGTAGATGTTCTAACAGAGAAAACTTAGTTCTCCTGCCCTGCCTGTTCTGTGAGTTCCTGCTTCTTTTTTTGTTTTACCTTTTGGTTTTTTTGAGACAAGGTTTCTCTAGGTAGCCCTGGCTGTCTGGAACTTGCTCTGTAGACCAGGCTGGCTTCGAACGCTGCCTTCTAAGTGCTGGGATTAGAGGCATGTACCACCACTGCCTGGCTAAATTCCTACTTCTATCTATCTACCTACCTACCTAGGTATTTATGATTTTTCAAGACAGGGTTTCCTCTTTGGAGCCTGTCCTGGAACTAGCTCTTGTAGACCAGGCTGGCCTCGAACTCACAGAGATCTGCCTGCCTCTGCCTCCTGAGCGCTGGGACTAAAGGTATGTGCACCACTGCTCGGCTGAGTTTCTACTTGTAAAGGATGTTTTGTACTGTTTCTGGACCGTGGATTCCCGGCTCCATCACTCAGCTTTTCTGAGCAGAGCTTGCAGGAACAGCTTCTTCACATTAAGATCAGAAAGTGCAGCAGGGATGAATCACCCAGGCTGCTGAGACTCGGGACCTCTGGGACAGTCCTGAGAATGCCATCTCTCTGTCCTCCTGGCATTAGGGGAGGGATGGAGCTAGATGGCACCTCAAGGCTCTCCTGCAAGCAGAAGCAGAAACAGTGACTGGGTGCTATTGCTGGCTGGGCCAGCTCAGAGAAAGCACCAGGCGTACATGACCGGGGATCCAGGGACCTACTGATCCTGCTGGGCTATGTTATGAGACCTGGGGCTAAGGCCAACTCTTTGTAGACGGGTCTTTTACAACAATTCTGGGAACTCAGTGATACTGGTTAATATTTCACACTAGAAACTGGGGTTTGAATTCCTGAGACAACTTTTCAAAGTCACCCTAATGCCACCAACTGGAAAAAAAATGGAAAAGATGGGAATTTTTTTCTTCCTGGTCAATTTTCTTTTTCATGACAGGGTTTCTCTGTAGTTTGCAGCCTGTCCTGGAACTAGCTCTTGTAGACCACACTGGTCTCAAACTCACAGAGATACGCCTGCCTCTGCCTCCTGAGTGCTGGGATTAAAGGCGTGTGCCACCACCTCCCTATGTCTGGTCAATTTCTTAAACGATCTTCACTTTTCCTGTCTCCTGTCTGGAACTATTTCCCGAACCCCTGACCACAATGTTTTCCTCATAGCCTTCTAGAATGTGTTCTAGATCAGGACACAATGGGTCTGAAGAAACTATGGAATCCTGGACCTGTGACCCTCCCTCCCACCCACCTCAGTCCACCGAGTGCTAAAATTATAGGGGCACACTATTATGCCTCTCTGCAACCTGAGTTTTATGGAGTTTGTTTTGAAAATGTCACCTTACAACTCTGGCTCTCCTGGAACTCACTATGTAGACGAGGCTGGCCTTGAACTCATAGAAATCTACCTGCCTCTGCCTCCCTAGCGCTGAGTCTAACAGTGTGCGCCACCACATCTGGCAACTTTTATATTTTATATTTGAGATTCTTGGTAAGACTTCATCTGGAGAAAAATATTTCGCTGTCAAAAATATAAGGGAAAGGGCTGGAGGGATGGCTCAGAGGTTAAGAGCACTGGTTTCTCTTCCAGAGGTCCTGAGTTCAATTCCCAGCAACCACATAGGGGCTCACAACCATCCATAATGAGACCTGGTGCCCTCTGCAGGCCTGCAGGCATACATGCAGGCAGAACACTGTATCCATAATAAATAAATCTTTAAAAAAATTTTATAATTGCTTCAGTTTCTCCTACTATACTAACGAGCAAACCGCGGACAGGGACTGTCGGCAGTAAGGGGACCTCACAGGCTGAACTCCTCCCATGCAGATTGCATGACCATGACCCCAGAGCACACCTGCAAAGGGCTTATCTTTACAGGTCAGCATCAAAGGCTCCCAGAAGGCCTCCCCTTGAGTCCAAAAGGACATGAAGCTTGTTTCCTCATCTCCCCAGGTAAGGCTAACGGTTTGGGGGACAGGCCCTTGATAAAGCCTGTCTAAAGTTCAGCAACAGGCCCAGGGCTGCAGGCACTCGGTGACTGTCTTCTGCTGCTGAATTACCATGGCACGCCAGTGGCAGCTCCTTAATGCTGCTATTCCCCTGGCACCAGCAGACGAGGAGGTTCCCAACCCACAGTGCTTTGGGGGAAGGTGATTATTACCAGCACCCAAGTCCTTAAATTAGAGTGAATGCATGAGCCTTTGGCAAGGCCCTCCTGAAAGCGTGCCAGCCCCTGATGTCAGCCACACAGTCCAATCTGTCCTGAGCCGAGGATACTAATTCAGAAGCATTTGCTGAGCCACCTACTGGGTGCTCAGTGTCGTGCTCAGAGCCTGTTCAGGACAAATGAGGACTGAACAAAATTAAAACCTTGGAGGAGGATGTTTCTTTCATCCTCCCCGCCTCCCTTTCTCCCTGGATTTTTTGAAATAGGGTCTCACTGTGTAGCCCACATTCATAGGAAACTCTGACTTTTCCTGAGGCAGCCTCCTGAGTGCCGGGACTATAGGTCATCACCACCGTGACTGACTGGAAATCTGTATTCCTCTGATTGATGGCTCTCAGGTGCAGTTCAGGCGGAAACTCTACCCAGCTCACTTCCCTGTCATGTGTCTCCAAAGAATGTGGGCCGAAGTGGGCTTGTGTATAGCTCCCTGAATAGGAATCTGGTCCCCAGAAGCCTGTGAACATGGCTTACAGGGACCGGCTTTGTCCAGTGCGCGGCGGAGATCTTTCTCCGCAGATTTAAGGTTACGTCACTCACCTTTCAACTTGGACCGGACCTTGTTTGCGGTCTTTTTGATGTCTGCCGTGAGGTCCTCCAGCTCCTGTTTGGTCTCTGGGGAGGGCAAACAGGGAAGTGAGAACCTGGATGGGGCTCCCGCTCCCCGAGTCCCCCTGAAGTGGCACTCACTCTCATCCGGGTTGGGGGCAGCAAGGATGGCGCTGTGCTGTTTCTTCACCTGCTCCACATCCTCAGACAGTTTCTCGATGCAGCCTCGGATCTCTTCCACCTGGGCAGGAACTCAGTGACACCTCACCCAAGTTGGTGGGCCAGATGAGGGAATCGGGACAACTAGCCAGTGCTCAGTGAAATGGGCCAAACCCAGAAGGCCAAGGAGTGTGCGGGAAACAGGGGTGCACAGGGCAAAGGATGTTGCTGGGGACGGGCACGGTTCTGGGCCAGGGCTACTGGGGGCTCTACCTGTTCAAAGAACTCATCCATAAAGTGGTCTCGATCCACGTGGACCACCTCCTCTTCATCATCGCTGTCTTTTGCCTGGGGAGCAAAGCAAGGCCAGACGCATGAGCAGTCCTACCCCGCTCCCCAAGGTTGATGTGCTTGCTCTCTGGTCCTCTACCTGCCACACACACGGATGGCACCAGTTCTAGGCTCAGAGCCAGCACTGGGTTACTTGAAGAACAATGTCTCAGATGCCAGGGTACCTTAAAGGGAGTCAGCTAAAGGCATTTCCTGGGGTAGGAACAGCCTCAGGTGTTCAGTCACCCTGAAAGAGACATTAGTCCAGGCTGTCCCTATTGAATGCTAGATACAAATGGCAACATTTCAACAACCAGCTAGTTGTCACGTTTGTGATGGTTGTCTCTTCCCTTCCCGGGCTCTGAGCCTTCCCGCCATCCCTTAGCAGCGCCATCCCTTAGCAGCGCCGGCTCAGGTCTCCCTTTTCCCTGCCCCGACCTGACCATTCATTCTCTTATGGAAGGTCGCATGGCTGCCAAGCTGCCAGTAGCTGGTGCCAAGTTGAGCGAGCACAGCCAGGCCCAGCAAAGGCTGGCTGAGCAGAGTCAGCAGCACTCTGACCTGCTTCCTCCCACGCCTTCCTCCTCCTGCTGCACTCCGCTGCTGGAGACCCCTCTTCCCCCACACCAGTCGCTCACTCTCTTCCAGTCCCTTCCAGCCGCACACCCACCAACTCTCTCTGACTTGGATTTCCCAGTTGCAACGTGCAGCTGCTCAACCCTCCACCCTCAGGGCTCAGAGACACAAAGGGATTCACCCACCCACACTGCCATCTCCAGGCAGACCGGTGACACAGACAGAAGAGCTGACACACGGGCACACAGAAATAGGCTCCCAACACCCACATGGAGCCACACTGCCGCGCTGACAGACAACCACCGCAAACAGACCCAGGCAGAGCTGCATTACTGATGTGTGGATGCACAGACCTGCAGCCACGTCCCCGGGGCATGGAGGACAGTACTGCCTATTCAGTCAACCTCTTTGAGCCCCAGGACGGCATTCTCACCCAGTTAGGCAGAAGGCACAAAAGGGCTCCCTTGGGATCCCCACTCTTCTTTGCGTGGGACAGAATTCCCAAAGGCAAAGTTGAATTTAGCCATCGACAGACATTAAGCATGGAGCCCTAATCAGCCCCAGTGGAAAGTTAAGGGAGTCAGCCTGACACCCAGACAGGTTGAGCCAGAGTTCAGACAGAACGTAGCCAAGAGAGCCTGCATGAAATCAAGACAGGAGCCAGGCAGCAGCTGCTTGGAAGCGGAGCGTCTGGGACCAGGCAGCGAGCTGACCCGCCCGGAGCAGATCACAGACGACAGAAGAAAAAGGAACAGCACTTGGCTCAGATGCATCTGTTCAGACTGAACCTACACAGAGCCAGACGGGACCAAGATGCAACCAAGACACCAAGATCACACGGGATCCTAGATCCTGGGCAACTCTGGGACCAGCACAACCCAGAAGATAGCTCCTGTGGTAGGCCAGAAAGTCACGTGATTCTGCCCAGGTCTGGCTCTATTCAAACACGAGGGTCTCAAAGACACTTCTGAGACTTCTGGCTTCTCCAAGTCTCCATCTGCCCCAGGACTGTCCCCGGCAGGGCAGATGCTGGCCCTGCAGGCCTCTGAGAGAAGGACTCATCTTCAGGATGCACTAGTTTCTTACGGAGCTTTGCAGCTTCCCAGCTTCCAGGGTCACAGCCTCCTGCTGACCTTCCCATCCTCCAACCGCCCACCCTCAACCAGCTTTCGCAGGTGAGGACCCTGGCTGGTCTAAGTACCTGGGAACCTTCCTCTTCTCTAACTCGTTCCCTTCCCGTGCCAACTTGAAGTCCTTCCTAGAGTCTGATTCAATTTTTCCTGCTGTTTTCAGCACCTCTTTCCTTAGATTCTTCTAGAGTATCTAAGTTACCTCCCTACTTGCCCTTGAGAAGAGAAAATGGCAGCAGGGCCTGAGTATGACTTGGTTGGGCTAATAATTACAAAGAGAGCTAAAATCCCTCTGGGTGTCCAAACACGTTCACAATCATAATCCCCTTTGATCCTCACACCACAGCCCAGTGAGAACCGCTGAACAAATACTGTTCCCATTTCATCGATGAAGGAGCACGGGGCCACGGTGGGCAAAGGACAGTGATTTGCCCAAGGCCGAGTAGGACCAGAACACCATTATCCAGGAACACGGCCGCTTCCCCCAAGGCTCTAGTGAATTCCTTTCCCTCCCAGGCCGGCTCCTGCTGCACCCTGGCAACCCCACCATAGGGCCGTCTGCCACTGTCTCTCACAGGCCTCTCACGTTCTCTTCATCTCGTCTGACCTTCTTCAAGACTCTGTAAGAGGGGGCTGGAGCCACGGCCCAACTGTTGAAAGTGTGTGTTGGTCTTGCAGAGGACCCAAGTTTGGATCTCAGCATCCATGTTGGGTATTTCACAACTACCTGTATGTGACTCCACTGCAGGGATCTGATGCCCTCTTCTGGTCTCTGCAGGCTCCTTCACTTAGCACTCACATGTGCGAGCAAACACACACACGCACACACACACTATTTTTAGAGTCTGGTGTGGTCTACAGTATTTCGAGTCCAGCTTGGTCTACAGCACATGAGTTCCAGGACAGCCAAAGCTAGTAAAGAAACCTTATCTCGAAAACAACAACAAAAATAAATAAAATCTGTTTTAAAATCTTGAAAACAAAACAAGACCAGGGTCTGAGGAGATGGCTCAGTGGTGAAGAGCTGGCTGCCCTTCCACAGGCTCCAGGCTCCATGCCAGCACCCATAAGGCAGCTCAGAACCCTCAGGAACAACAACCCCAGAGAGTCCAGACATCCTCTTCTGGCCTCTGGGGGCACCAGGCACGCCTGTGGTGAAGGTGCAGACAAAACACTCACACATAGCAGATAAATAAACAACTCTGTGAAGTGACAGATACGGTGGTAAACACCTACAACCCAGCATGGAAAGCCGAGGCAGGAGGATTGCCATGAGTTTGAAGCAAGTGAGTTCCAGCTCAGCCTGGCTACAGAATAAGATTCTGTCTCAAGAACAGACATTGGCCTGGCATGGTCACACTTTTAATTACAGTAGAGGAAGAGGGAGGTGAATCTCTGTGAGTTCAAGGCCAGGCTGGTCTGCACTGCTAGCCCCAAGCCAGACAGGACTACATAGTAAGACCCTATCTAACCCAAACACACATATAACACACTCTGTAATGACACGCAGTGACACACATGCAAGCAGAGCTTGACAGAGTTCCGGGTGCTTGTCTGTATATCCTGCACATGCTCGTCCATTTAATTCAGTAGGATCTGGGGGTGGGGGAACCCACGGCCTCATGCATGCTGGGCAACACTATGTCGCTGAGTGACCATTCCAGCTCTGGGTTTTCTGAGACAGTCTTTTTTTGTTGTTTTATTTTTTGAGGGTTTCTCTGTAGCTTTAGAGCCTGTCCTGGAACTAGCTCTTGTAGACCAGAACTTACAGAGATCTGCCTGTCTCTGTCTTCCAAGTGCTGGGATTAAATAAAGGCGTGCGCCAGCACCATCTAGTATTTTCTGAGACAGTCTTACTGAAGCTCAGAGTAGCCTCTATCCTGGAATCCTCCTGTCTCTGCTCCCCGAGCGCTGGGTTACAAACTGCATCACCACCGTCCTTATTCATTTAATTCTTTTTCTTTTTTTCTTTTTTCAAGACAAGGTTTCTCTGTAGCTTTGGAGCCTGTCCTGGAACTCACTCTGTAGACCAGGCTGGCCTTGAACTAACAGAGACACACCTGCCTCTGCCTCCCTCGTTTATAGGTGGGAAAACTTTAGGCAGAGAGAGGCTGACAAACTGCATGGTTCTGCAGCGACACTGGCATGCATGCTTCTGCCTTCCAGGCCTGGTACCTTCCTTTGTTAGATGGCAGGGGAAGCGACGAGACAGGCAGGGAGATGCCTGATGCTCCAAGGGGGGAGTGTTTGGCGAGGGTGGACTGAGCCCTGGGCCTTCTGTGTGGCAGATGAGGAGACAATTCAGACAGGTGGCTCTATTGCCTGAGGCTTTATAGTAAACAAGACCAGAGGTGGAGCTTGAAACGGGGACCCATAGGATCTCAAGGCTTTTTCCATCCATCCCACGGACAGGTGGCAGTCCCTCTATTCCTACCTGGCCACAAAGAGAGCTGTTGGACTCGCTCTCTTTCCCTCTGTTCCTCTGTCCCTCCGCTCACTTCTTTTCAGGGTCTCACTATGTGGCCCAGAGTAGCATCAAACTTGCAGCAATCCTCCTGTCCTGGCTCAGCCTCTCAAGTGTTGGGATTACAGGAGCGAGCCCGTGTCCAGCAGTTCCTCACATTCAATCTCAGGATCACTCCACAAAGTAGATGTTCTTATTCCCATTTTACAGATAAAGAAACCGAGGCACAGGAAGATTACATAACTCGCCCGAGGGTGGTCAGTCAATCAGGTGTTGGTGGGTGGCAGGGCATTGCTTGTCACTGTGCACCAATTGCTGAGCACCTGGGAGGATTCAGGAGATTAGGAAGAGCTCCTGTCACCTCCCGAAGCCTCCTTGGCTGTGTGGGGCATTTGATTCAATCCCCTAGCTTCCATCTGGCTCCTTAAAGTCAAAGTTTTTCACATCAGCAACAAGAGTGTTCTGGTGTGTATGTGTGTGTGCATGTGTGTGGTGTTGGAGATTGAGCCGAGGGTATCAGATACACTCATGCTCACACACACCACCATATACTCCCTACCCAGGCTCTTCAAGGTGCAAGCCCTACATCATCAGACCCCTCCTGCACCCTCACGATTCTGCCCATCTGCTTCCTTGGCTTGGGCCTCTCCTCCCGCACCTTCCACGGTCCAGCCTGACTCCTGGCTCCTTCTTTTCCTCTTACTAGTCTACTGAGCCCACCTGCTCCCTTCCTGATGCTCCTGCGTCCCCAAGTCACGCATTCAACTAACAAATATAAACGATTGGCACTAGGGGTAAAGAAGCCTGGGCCTGGGAAGGAAGGGCTTGTCTCCAAGCAGCTGAAGGTGCGTGCTGTGGGGGGGAAGCGACAAACAGTGACAAATGAGTAAGATAGTGCCTAAGTGTGAAATAGCAGAGGGAGATACACAGTGTGTGTGTGTGCACGTGTGTGTATGTGTGTGTGCGTGTGTGCATATGTGTGTGTATGTGTGCATGTATGTGCACGCATGTGTGTGCATATGTGTATGTGTGTGTGCGTGTGTGTGTGTGTGTGTGTGTGTGTGTGTGAGGAAAACACGCATGCGGCACTTTATTCAGGTGACCAGGGAGGGTCTTTCCAGGGAGGTGACATTTGAGTTGAGTCCAATCGTGCTGCCATGTGGGAGAAATTGGACTTAAGGCAACAGGAACAGTATTCACGGGCAAAAAAAAAAAAACAAGTGCAAAGAACGCAAGGCAGAGAAAAGTCCCAGGCACAGGGAGGGAATGAATCTGCTAGTCTCCGCCTACTCTTACAAGCTTCCCCTCCCTCTTTCCTCCCCCTGCCCTCCCACCCCAAGCTGGCACATGTCCTCCTCTTTTCTCTCACTCTGTCTCGGCTGGCTTCCTCCTTGGACCCGGGTCACCTACTCAACCGAGGCCTCCCCACTGCGAGGAGCAATGTCCAGCCTAGTACCTCCCAGTGCCCAACTCAAAGTGCTGGGCAATCTGAGACAGAAAGCCCTGGTTCGACACTGACTCCACCAGCTGTGCCACCTCTGGCAAGTCTGTCTTTTTTTCCTGTAGCCCTCGGGCAATTCCAGAATCACTTAGGTGTCATCCATGTGGGTTTACATGATGCTCCAGAGAAACTGGATGTCACCTGGGAATAGCAACCACACAGCGCTGCTGTGCAGCAGGCTGTCTTAGGCACCCTGTATTAATTAACTTTCAATTCTCCAAATAATCCTGTGAAGCCAGGTAGTACCGTTACACTCAAATTACACAGGAAGAGACTGAGGCTGGGATGGAGCTAAAGACAGGGTACCTGCCTGGTGTATTCAATGCCCGCGCACACACACACACAGATACACACAGACACAGATGCGCACACACAGACATATACACAGATATACACACACACAGACACAGATGCACACACAGAGACATATACACGGATATACACACAGACACAGATGCACACACACACAGAGACATACACAGATATACACACAGACACAGATGCACACACACACACACAGACATACACAGATATACACACACAGACAGACACAGATGCACACACACACACAGCTCAGGATACAAACAAAAACCCACCCACCACCAGCAAAGCACCCTGAGTACTAGACAGGTCAATAACTTGCCCAAGGTCACACATGAAGAACCTAAGCCAGGACATAAGCCCAGATAATCTCACTTCCAAGTCTGGGTCCTTACCCTCTGTAGGATAAACAGATTTTGAAAACTCCTCAGAAGACTACAGAGCCCTGGCAAGACAACCAGGCCCTGCATTCACCACGTCCTCCGGGCCTAGGCCTGTGGAGTCTCCCCTGCCTTCCCAGAGCTTGGCTTTCAACTCTGGCAGAGGCTCCTACACTCCAGACATCTGGAGCTCCTACCTACCCAACCCCATCCGCACCCTCCCAAACCTCCACTTTGCCTAAGCTGTGACTAACAGCAAAACCATCAGTGTTTGCCCAGCCCCCTTAGCCCCAGCCACCTGGTCCCTGCTCCCAGCAGCGCTGGCCACAGGTTTCCTCACCTCTGGGCAGGGAGCCCTGACGCAGAGGAGTGCTCCCCACTCTTGTCTCCTTCTCCCTCCAATTTTACCGCAGTTGTAACCCCCCTTTATTACATTTCTCTAGGTTCAGGAATCATGGCATGTTCTCGGCGGCTAGGGATCTGAGTTTGAATTCTGTTTTCTCCCTTGTTTAGCTGTGTGGCCTGGGGAAATTCTTTAAACCCTCTGGGCTTTCGTTTTCCCGAATATTAGACAAAGCAGACTCTCTGTCTACCTTACCAGGAAGTTGGTTGGGATTTAATGGGATTGCCATGACAACCTGCTTTGCAAACTGCACCTGGATTACTACTTTAGTGGCTACTAAGGCTGTTGGTCTGGGTTTGAATCCTGCCCTTTTTCTAGCTATGTAACTTTGGCCAAGTTCCTTAACATCTCTGAGCCTCCGCTCCCCTTTCTATGAGATGAGATCATGCTAACACCAGACTCACATAGCATTGCCGGTAATCAGAGGTGATTTCCTATAAAACACGCAGACTAGAGTTGCCATTGCTACTACCATCTTCCGCACACAGTAAATAATCCTTCATCTCTCCTCCCTCTACTGTCGGCTCCTCCTGCCTCCACAAGCAGTCCCCTGCCTCTGTGTTCTTTCCCTGTACCTCCTATGAACTGGGTTTTCCCGGTTTAGAGGCTTCCTAACAACAGAGCTTTGTCTCCACTCTCCAACTTGTATGGCAGAAGCCGAGAGGTCACGTCAGTCTGGCAGCCTGGAGGCCCCTGAGGCATCTGACCTGCACCACACGAAACACTTTCTTGATGACCTTGGGGCAATCCCTTCCCATCCCTGAATCTCAGTTTCCTCATCTGTCAGACGGAGTAACAGCCTCTTGCAATTCTGGCATAACCCATCAGAGCACAGGGGCCAGTGGCCACCACCACACAGCAGACTGCCACCTCAACCTCCTCGGGCCCATGTCATTCTCCAAATGTTTCCGTACCCTCTCTGCCCTGAAACCATTCTCATGGGGCCATCGCAGTCCCTCCAAAGAACAGCCTCCCCTGCAAGCTCCTGACCTAACCTCCCCCAGCTCTCCAGGCCTCCTGGAGCCTAGGCCCTGCTCCCCAACAGCCTGCCCCTGGCTGCTCCCATGCCCCAGTTCCCCCAAACACTATGTGGCCTATGGCACACAACCCAATTTGGTGACCTGGTGGGTGGATCTTCCTCTCCTCTCCCACCTTTGGGGTCACCTCAGCTGAGGCTCTGGCCCAGGGGAACTCAGTTCCCCCCCTTCACTCTCCCCTGTAAGCAGTGCCCTCTCCCCACAGAGCAACACACCAGTGCGCTTGCGTGCACACACACACACACACATCACCAACACCACGACACACTTCATTCACTGCTAGTTGCTGGCATCTAGTCTCAACCTGTGTCCTCCACAGCATCCCAAATCTGGGTCCTCCTGGACCCGGCCTGGCCAGTAACCACCTCCATCCGTCCAATTTGACAAACCAGTTCCAGGGAGGATGGTGTCCCCCCAATCTGCTCTTGACATTCGCTCTCTCCCATCCCCAGGTTAGACCCAGGGCCCTCCTGGGCATATGTGCTGCCCAAGCCCCTGAGACCTCTCCTGCCCCCTTGTGTCTCAATGGCCTTCAACTCCTTCCAGCCACTGTCCTCCAATTGCAGGGTAACTGGATATCAGGTGCCAGGAGATGCTAGGGTTCCTGGCTTCCAACCTCTAGTCTTATCATTTGCCCCCCATGTCACAGAATCTCCCCCATTCCATTCCAACGCGCTCCCCAAATACAGGGTCCCGCCTCCCCACCTCTCCCACCCCCTAGCTCACACTCCGCAGCTCCTGAGTCCGATCCTTCATCCTGCGACGGGCTCCTCCTCCCCTTCTTCGTCCTCCCGCCTCCGCTGCTTCTCTCTGCCTCTTGCCTCTTTGCTGGAGGCCGGGGGTCTGGGGGCACCGGACTAGACCTCCGAGGGATGTGCGGATAAGGTGCGCGGCGTGAGGGGTGAGGGCGGGAGCTGAGACCAGGCAGAGACAGGGGCCTGGGCCGACTGGGCTCTGCCTGGGCTGCGGTGGCGATGCGGCTGCGGCACAGGGTTGGATGGAGGGATGCGGGAGCCGAGGCGCGGGGGAGGGGGGCGGAGGGAGGTGAGGAGGAAGGGAGGGAGGGGGAGCAGGAGGGGGCGGGGAGCAGGGGGCATGCGCAGCGCCCCGGGCTGGGGGCGCCTGGGGGTTGTAGTCCAGGGAGGGGCACCCACGGGAGGGGCACAGGGGAGGCCTAGAAGTGGCGGGGGGGGGGGGGGGGTGCAGAGCCCAAGGAGCAGGGAGAGATGCAGAGGCAGGGACAGGGATGCTGGGTGAAAGGCGGTTGGGGTGGACCAGCAGAAAGAAGGGCTAAGGCAGTGAATTGAGGGAATTGAGGGAATAACCCAGGAGAGGTAGAGTGTATGTGTGCCTGGGTGTCTCCGTGAGCCTACACAGGACCACTTTTATCCCGTCCCTTCGGCTCTGCAGGAGGCTTTTTGGACTAGAAATAACAAACCTGACCCTGTATGTGGCTATTGCTTGCTGAAAAGAACACGGGGCTTGTTCTGCACATCCTTCGTCACCCTACCTGGAAGTGCCCTGGTGCCGGTGGGTTGCAGCTTGTCTACCCACGAGAACAGGGTGGTCACTACCTGCCGAGACCTCCTGGTCTGGCATTTTAGATGACTCTGTTAAAAATGGCATTTATCCTACCCTATGAAGAATTTCAGTGGTATTTGCTTGCCTAGCATGCCTGCAAGGCCCTGGGTTCCATCCTCCAAGAGCAGGGTTGTGTGTAGGGGGGGGGGGAGGGAGGAAGATCTCTGCTGAATCTTGAAATCTTGAAATCTTGAATCTAGTGCTGCAGAAGGTCCAGGGAGCCCTTTACCCCCAACTCTGCCCCTCTCCTTCTCATCACTTAAAAACACACCCAGTCTTCCTTTTCTCTGTGGTGAACTTTGGACCCCCAGTGGGGTGACTTGGACCTTGTTTATGCCAAATACCTAGTAACTACCCTGAGACACCATTTCTCTGTGTCCAGGCAGGGCCTAACATCCATGACCTTCAACAGTTCCTAAACTCAGTGGCCTTCTTGTGAAAACTCCCCGCTCCTTGTGTCCTTGCCTGCCTCCTGTCCCACCACTGCAACCTCCGTGTGCCAGGACCCTCTTCTGCACTATGACCTTCAGCCAAGGCTCCTGGGTGCCAGGCTAGGCTCTCACCTTCCTTTTGAATCCTTTGACTTTATGTAGACATGTGTGTGCAGGCGTGCTCATGTGCGCATGTGCACACATGCAGGGCAGAGGTCCATGTCGGGTGGCTTCTGATTCTCTCCACCTTACATTTTGTTTTAGAGGCAGGCTCTTGCACTGGCCTGCAGCTTACCATTTTAGCTATTCTTGTTGACCAGGAGCCCCTGGAGCCTTCATGTTTCTGTCCCCCTGGGGCTCACAGGGTTACAGATGCGTGCTGTTATGCACAGCTTTTCTGTGATGCTGGGGATCTGCACTCAGGTACACATCATCCACGGAGCCCAGGTTCTCCCTGTGCTCTACCGCACCTTTCTGTACCTTCATCCTGTGGTTCCCCCCTGTACCTGTGAACCAGCTCCTTCTCAGAGGAAGGCCCTACTAGAGCCCGGGCCAAGAAGACAGAGACAAAACATACAGTCACCTGTGGAGAGAGACGCCAGCACTGTGGTGAGGGGACTCCAAGCACAGGGTCAGCCTTGGCAGCTAGAAGTGTGTCTTCCCTTTTGCCATCAAAGGCGACATCCACTCACTGGGAGCAGACTCTGTCCTGACACCCTCCCCCACCACAGCATTGCTGTTAAGAGTATCCATCACGGGCTGGAGAAATGGCTCAGTGGTTAAGAGCACTGACTGCTCTTCCAGAGGACGCGGGTTCAATTCCCAGCACCCACATGGCAGCTCACAACTGTCTTAAGATCCAGTTGCAGGGAATCCCACACCTTCATACGAATGCACATAAAATAAAGTTAAATAAACCATTGAAAAAAAAAAGAGTATCCATCACGACCCACTCGCTGGATGGCAACTCAACCTCCTGTCCACTCGTGTTCCCCCAAGTGTACAGGTAGGCAAGCTGGGGCTTCAGAGGACTCAGGACTGCGTCCAGTGTACAGGTAGGCAAGCTGGGGCTTCAGAGGACTCAGGACTGTGTCCAGTGTACAGGTAGGCGAGCTGGGGCTTCAGAGGACTCAGGACTGCGTCCAGTGTTACAAGGCAGAACTCTCTTTGCCAGCGTCTCTCTCCTAACATTGGACACCAAAGTTGGCTTGTCACATACTGGGTAAATGCTCTAGACTGAGCTACTCTCAGCCGTGGTTTGCCACGTCCTAACTTCCTCCTGCCTCCACCACTCAGGTCAGTCTGGGCTCTCATCCCCTTCCTTTCACTTGGACCACCAGGGGCGCTGCCTCAGTGGTCCTCACTCTGGGAGGCCCTTTCCTTTATGTCCCTCTCCCTGGATTCTGGTATGATGGTCACCAAGCTGTCTGGATATGCTCATGATACCTGTAGTACCACCACCTCCCACGGCTTCCAGGATTGCACTCAGAAGCTAATCTAAGACCTGGTGTGGTGACACTTGCCTGTGATTCTAGCACTCGGGAGGCAGAGACAGGCAGACGTCAAGCTGGAAGCCAGTCTGCTTATGTAATGGGACTTTGATTGAAGAAAACAAATGGGCAGTAGAGACAGGTCAGCAGTTAAGACCACTGCTTGTTCTTAGAGAGGACAAACTTCGGACCTCAGCATCCCCTGTGGCATTGACGTCTGCCTGTATCTCCTGTCCCAGTGGATATGATGCCCTCTTCTGGCCTCCCCAGGTGGTGCATTTACACACACACACACACACACACACACAGGCAAAACAATCACACAAATATAAATATTAGGAGCCGAAAAGATGAATCCATAGTTGCTGCTCTTGATGAGGGCCCCGGTTCAGTTCAGAGTACCCATGTGGCACTCACAACCATCTGTGACTCTGGTCCCAGTGGATATGGTGCCCTCTTCTGGCCTTCTCAGGCACCAGGCACAAATGTGGTAATACACATACATTTTGTGAGGCAAAATACTCACAGATATAAAATAAAAAGAGGCCTCTGACACAAAAAGAAGTCTATTGTGCCATTTAGTTGCGCCAACCATTGCCTTCTTTCCCCATCACCTCCCTTCATGCCAAGAAACCAATAGCCTCCACACATCTTTGAGCAAGAATCTGTGTGTTGGAACTTGCTTTGTAGACCAGGCGGGCCTCGAACTCACAGAGATTCGCCTGCCTCTGCCTCCCGAGTGCTGGGATTAAAGATGTCATCACCGCCTAGCCAGCAATTTTATAAAGGAAATATTTAATTGGGGCTGTCTTACAGTTCAGAGGTTTAGTCCATTATCGTCATGGTGGGAAACATGACAACATTCAGGCAGACCTGGTGCTGGAGAGGGAGCTGAGAGGTTGACATCTGGATCAGCAGGCCGCAAGAGACTGCCCCACACTGGCCTGCCCCAACAGTGACACACTTCCTCCAACAAGGCCACACCTCCAAAGAGTGCCACTCCCTATGGACCAAGTATTCAACACATGGGTCCATGAGGGCCATACCTATCCACACCACCACATCGTGTGAGGCCCAGTTCCCGCCCCACCAGAACAGCACAGACCTAACCGCTGTCTATGTTTCCCCACGAACAGACACAGGCCAAGCAGAGTGACACTCACCAGGAATGCTGACTCACACCTTTACCTACGCACGAGGAAAACAAGCCCAACAAAGTTGGTAGATTTGTCTACTGGGCCCACCGCTAATTTCCCCGGGGTTTTGTGGGTCCTTGAACACTGTGAGCTCCCAGTGTCTGCTAAGGCAATGAATGAGTGACTAGAGGGGAGGGACACCAGCTCATACTGGGTACGACGACAACTGTAATTCCTGTCACTGTCCAGCAAGTTATTTATTTATGTGGTGCTGGTGATTGAACCCGGAACCTTGGGCATGATAGACAGCCACTTTAGCATTGAGCTACATTTTCAATCCTCATTTTTAAATTATTTGTTATTATTATCATTATTATTGTTTGAGACAGGCTCTTGCCTTGGCTGGCCTGGAATTTGATATGCAGACCAGGCTGGCCTTGAGCTCACAAAGATTCACTTGTCCAGAAGCATGCACCACCATACCTGGCCCAGACTTATTATTATTTTTAATATGTGTGTATATGTGTGTATTTGTGCATGGGTTCATGCATGTGAACACATGTGCCTATGGAGGCCAGAGGTGTTGATTTCTCTAAAGCTGCACTTATAGGCAGTTGTGAGCTGCCCAGCATGGGTGCTAGAACCAAACTCAGAGCCTCTTCAAATGCAGTATGCTCTCTTAACTGCTAAGCTGCCTCTCCAGCCCCTTCTTTAAATTTTTTAAAAATATTTATTTATTATGTATACAATATTCTGTCTGGCTGCAGGCCTGAAGAGGGCACCAGACCTCATTACAGATGGCTGTGAGCCACCATGTGGTTGCTGGGAATTGAACTCAGGACCTCTGGAAGAGCAGGCAGTGCTCTTAATCACTGAGCCATCTCTCCAGCCCCCTCTTCTTTAAATTTTTTAAAATAATAATTATTTGGCATATGTTTCAGTCACGTGTATGTATGTGCACTACGTGTGTGCCTGGTGCCTACGGAGGTCAGCAGATAACATCAGATCCTTTGGAACTGAAGTTATGGAGGGTTCTAGTCACCATACGGGTACTAGAAACTGAACCTGAGTCTTCTGCAAGAGCAGCCAATGCTCTTACCTACTGAACTATCTGTCCTTTGAATTTTTAATTTTGTGATAGAGCACTACTAATTTCTCAGAAGTCTATACTTCTGCTGCACTTTAAGGTGTGTGCCAGGGCCAGCAAGGTGGCTCGGGTGGAAGTGCTTGCTGCCCTCCCAGATCTCAGAACCTGTGGTGAAGGTCAGAGAACACTCTTGCAGGTTGTCCTCAAGCCGCTGCTCGCACCATGGTACACGCACCCTCATATGTACAATAATTCGTTCCTTAAAGGTGTCTGCCACCACGCTCAGATTGTTCATTGGCCTTCTGTTGCTTTTTGTCCCATTTGCTTGGGTTACTCGGGATTGAAGCATACCCTTGACTAGGCAAGCCAAGCACAATCTCATCTTGCTAGGTGAGCCAAGCACAGCCAAGCACAGCCTCATCTTGCTAGATCTTTAGTGGCTTCCACTCATCACATCCAGGACCACCTGCAGTCTACCAAACAAACCTGGGAGGAGAGTCTGCATCATGCATCAGTTCCTTTTGCAGTCTCTCTACCTGAGTGACCTTACTGGAGCCTCAGAATAACCAGGCAGCCCCTGCTCAGAAATGTCCCTGTTCCCTGTCACTCACATTGGCACGTGCTGTCATTTCTTAAGCGCCCTGACTCCTGTCTCAAGCCATTCCCCACACTTTTCTCCCACCATGCCTTCCCTCAAGCCCCTGTCTCCTGGAGGTCCCTCCTCTATCATAGCTTTTAACTACTTAGCTTCTCCAGTTTTCCTTTCTTTTAAATTTATTTATTTTTAAATATCTATTCATTTTTATGTGCATTGATGTTTTGCATGTGTAAGGGTGTCCCCTAGAACTGTAGTTATAGACAGCTATGAGCTGCCATGTGGGTGCTGGGAATTGAACCTGGGTCCTGTGACAGAACAGTCAGTGTTCCTAACTGTTGAGTCATCTCTCCGGCCCCTAAAATTTATTTCATTTGCATTGATGTGAGGGTGTCAGATGCCCTGGAACTGGAGTTACAGACATGTGTGAGCTGCCATGTGGGTGCTGGGATTGAACCCTGGTCCTCTGGAAGAGCAGCCAGTGCTCTTAACCACTGAACCATCTCTCCAGCCCCATCCAGTTTTTCTTAACTCCTATGGAGTTCAAGGGAAAGCCCATTAGATTGTCTAGCTTCTTTCCTAGAAATTCTGATTCCATAGATGTGGCCTGGGACTAAGGAACCTGAGTTCTTAGCAATTACCTCTGAGGATTGATTTGCAGCCAAGTCTGAGAACTTTTGGATATTAGGTTATCCAGGTTATGCTACAAAAAGAAAACAAACAAGAAACCCTCCAACCCTGAGTGATTTAAGACTGTAGAGGTTTGTAGGATGGGTGTGGTGGAGCATGCCTTTAATTCCAGAACTCTGAGTTTGAGGTTAGCCTGGTCTACAGAGTTCCAAGGACAGTCAAGACCACACAGAGAAACCCTGCTTTGGTGACAGACTATGGAGATTTGGTTACTTTTTAGATATTGTCTCCTTTTCTTTCTTTCTTCCTTTCTTTCTTTCTTTTTTTTTTTCTTTTTTCTTTTTGGAGGGGGGGTGTTGTGGGGTTGAGACAGAGTTTCTCTGTATAGTCCTGTCTATTCTGGAACTCTCTGTAGAACAGGCTGGCCTTGAACTCACAGAGATCCACATGCCTCTGCCTCCTGAATGGTGGGAATAAAGGTGTGCACCACTAACGCCAAGCAGAGATTCCTTTCTTAAAGAAGACTCGGTGCTTCGGTGCTTCAGGTGGAGCACACATACACACCTGATCATCTGATGAACTCTTTCTGGTTAAATCTCTGTCCCATCCACAGCACTGTAACCACCACAGCTTCTTGTTTGGGAACAGATAAACAACCATCAGACATCTATTTGCTAGTGTCTAAGGAAGCTCTGCTTCGTGGTCGTCATGCTTCAGTGGAGAGAGAAGTGAACATCAGGACTGCCTGGTGGAGTGCGTGCCTGCCTCTTCTGATCTTCAGTTTCTAAGCCTGTAAAACAGCTCTGATACCTTCTTGTTTGGGCATGGAGAAAGGCCTCATTGAGAAAATGATCACGGAAGTCAACTGCAACAAGAGGATCTCTGCTCGAGCAGCCGTGAGAGAGCCCTGACTCTGGGGCGCACCCTTCCTGTTTCAGCCTGTTTCCAGGTTTATCCCAGAGGGTCTTGGAATTTGGTTTATGTCCCTCTCCTCTTCACATTCACTGCCTCATCAAACCATTATGAACCTGAACGTGACTATAATATTATTCACAATAGTGGTGGGCTTTCTATGCTAACCTAAATATTAATAAAGAATATTTACTGATTAAAATAGTAATGATGCTGCCGACATATCATCCTTACATAGTGCTCATCAGACACTGAGCTCCATTTTTTGCTTTTAAATTGTGGAGTTTTAAAAGTTTATTTACTTTTATTTTATGTACATTGGTGTTTTGCTGGGTTCCCTGGAATTGGAATTATAGATAGTTATGAGATGTAGGTGCTGGGAATTGAACCTGGGTCCATCTGGAAGGGCAGCCAGTGCTCTTAACCACTGAGCCATCTCTCCAGGCCCCCGAGCTCTGTTTAAGTATGCTGCAGGCATTTACCCTTCCCAGTGACTGTCTGAGGTTACTCCTATTCTCTCCATTTACAGCTTAGGAAATGGGAGTATGAGGAGCTGAAGTAGCTTGCTCAAGCAGGAGCTGACATTCAATCCCCAGATAAAGTCAAATATTCCCCTAGTCACCTGATCTCTCCTTCCAAAGGGGCCCATTCCGCCTTTCTTTGCAGCAAAGCCAACCAGTTACACAGCAGAGACTAGATTATGGCCCCGCCTTTCTAGATGTGTTCTGATCATTTACAACATCCACTTTTCCTATCCACTCCCATGGTGCAGACACCACTAGTTAGGACGTCTTCTTAAAGTTACTTTGTGCTTAATTGCGTGTATGTCTGTGTGCTGGCTACACACAAACTAGAGTTATCTGAAAGGACACCACCTTTAATCTCAGCAACAGGAGGCAGAGACAGGCGAATCTCTGTGAGTTCGAGGCCAACCTCATCTATGGAGCAAGTTCCAGGATAGCTAGGGCTACACAGAGAAACTCTGTCTCAAAAAACACAAACAAACAAACAAAGAAAGAAAAAGAAAAAAGACAAAAACCCTCTGGCTATAGGGTATTTTCTTTATTGATGATCCATGGAGGGGAGGCACAGCCCATTGTGGATGGTGCCATCCCTGGGCTTGTGGTCCTGTGTTCTGTAAGAGAGCAGACTGAGCAAGCCATGGGGAGCAAGCCAGTAAACAGCGCCCCTCCATGGCCTCTGCATCAGCTCCAGTCTCCGAGTTCCTGCGACGTTTAGTTCCTGCCCTGTTTAGTTCCTGCCCTGACTTCCTTCAATGATGAACAGCAGTGTGGAAGTGTAAACCAAATAAACCCTTTCCTCCCCAATTTGCCTTTTGGTCACGGTGTTCTGCCACAGCAACAGACACCCTAAGACACCTGTGTTTGTATGTGGGCACGTGAACGAGAGTGCAGGTGCCTTCGGAGCCCAGAGCTGCAGGTGGGCGTGGGCACTCAGTGCTGGTACTGGCAACTGAACTACGGTGAGAACGCTGCACGAGCAACAGACTCTGCCAACTCCTGAGCCAGCTCTGCAGCTCCAACTTAGGACTTCCTTCCAGTCCTTCATAAACTGCAATATTTAGTCAGTGTGGCAGTTAATGTCTGTAATCTCACATGGAAGACAGCAAGGCAGAAGGATTCCATAAATTAGAATATAGTCTGGGCTACATGATTAGGTTAGACCTTGTTTCACATCAAACAATTATAGTTAGTCTCAGCTGCACACACTTGTCCCAGCTACATGAGGGGCTGAAAAGGAGGTTCTTTTGGGCCCAAAAGTTCAAGGCGAGCTGACTACTAGCAAGATCACCTCCCTGTTCTTTCACTGACCCCACCAGGTAGTCCAGGCTGGCCTCAAACTCAGAGATCTGCCTTTGCCTCCTGAGTGCTAGGATAAAGGCATGCCATATGTAATTATCTGGAATAGCAACAAGGACTCTTAACTGAGAGTCAGTTTTCAGTACTTATTTTTTAAATAATTCTTTTTTGGGGGTGGAAGAGCTGAAGAGATGGCTCAGCAATTGAGAGCACTGGCTGCTCTTCCAGAGAACATGGGTTCAGTTCCCAGAACCCACATAGTGGCTCATAAGTGGTTGAAAATTCAGGTACAGGGGATCCAACATTCTCTTCTGGCCTCCATGGGCACTAGGTATACACCTAGAACAGACATGCGTGCAGACAAAACACACATACATATGAAATATTAAAAAGAAATGTTACATTAAAAATAATAACTTTGCCAGGCAGTGGTGGCAAACGCTTTTAATGCCAGCACTTGGGAAGCAGAGGCAGGCAGATCTCTGTGAGTCTGAGGCCAGCCTGGTCTACCAGAGTTAGTTCCAGGACAGGCTCCAAAGCTACAGAGAAACCCTGTCTCAATAAATACATACATACATACATACATACATACATACATACATACATAACTTTGCCGAGCATAGTGAGCACACGCCTTTAATCCCAACACTTGGGAGGCAGAGACAGGCAGATCTCTGTGAGTTCAAGGCCAACCTGATCTACAAAGAGAGTTCCAAGACAACCAGGACACAGAGAAACCATGTCCTCAAGAACAAAACAAAAACCTAAGATTGAACCTAGGCTTTTGTACATATTAGGCAAATGTCTACTAAGCCTTTTCCTGGCCTGAAAGATTTACTCTTAGACACTCCTTATTTATATATATTATATTTCTATAAATAGAATTTTCTACATTTCCATCATAGTTTATTGCTATGACTTATAAACATGATTAAAGTCGTCCCCCTACACTAGCAAACTTACTTAGCATACAGGCAGGATGAGAGCCCGAGGCATGACCCAGGTTTCTCCTGCCCTTCCATCTGGAACCATGTCGGACAGACTCATCCTTCTAGCGGAGGCTCAGCTCCATCTCCCAGGCTCAGAGTCTCTCTGATTCCTAACTTCTCTGTGAATTGACCTCCAAAGCCTGGCACTCAGCCTTCCCTGGTGTGTCAGGTGATTGTGAGAAATCGTCAGACACGTGGTACCAGGGTGGGGATGGCACTTCTGTGTAGTGTTTATATGTTACCCTCTGGGACAGCCATCTGTGGTGGCACCAGCAGGATCTATGCTACATGAAAATCTGATCACAGCATCAGTTGTGGATTTCATGTTCATGTTTGTACCTCCCTACCTTGATTTCTATGTTGAAATGCTGGCCCTCATGTGACGGAGCCTCGGGAAGGTGATTGCCTAGCTGAGGAACGCTCCTGGTGGGATTGTGCATATGTAAGAAGTATATATGGGGGCTGGAGAAATAGCTCACGAGTAAGAACACTTACTCTTAAAAACAAACAACAACAAAGAACAAATCTTATGCTTTGTTTTTTGAGACAGTGTTTCCCTGTGTAGCCCTGGCTTTCCTGAAACTCACTCTGTAGATCAGGCTGGCCTCGAACTCACAGAGATTTGCCTGCCTCTTCCTGCCTCCAAGGTGTGTGTCACCACTGTTGGGCAAATCACATGGATCTTTTGGTACTTTTATAGGGTTCAAAAGTCAAACTAGGGCTGGAGAGATGGCTCAACAGTTAAGTGCACTGGCTGTTCTTCCAGAGGACCGAGTTCAATTCCCAGCACCCA